GATATATATATATATATATAGGCATATATTGGCATGATAACACTTTCAAGTCGAACTGCTGCTGATTGCAAGCTATTGTAAGGCATTTTCCAGGCTATAATATTTATATAAAAATACTAAACCTGTGTCAAAATAACTTTGGTAGTACAAAGCAAAGAGCACCCATATAACATACATTTCATGCAAATTAGATCATCTAACAGGGCTGTATCTCCCTCCTGCCTCTCTAGGGTTTTTTTTTTTTTTTTGTATGTATAGACACCCTCCCATCAGCTGTAATCGGTTTGGGCAGGGTGGTGTGTGATTTATAGCTCTCTCTGCCTCCACCACACCTGTGACTTCCTGTAGCCAGAGGCTTCACCAGCTTTCATAACAGCCATCTGCAGAAGGACACTTGTCTTTATTCTTCAGTCACGCTGCAGTGCGAACATGGAGCATTCAAGTTCAAAATGAACAAAGTTCTTAAAGTGCTCACGCCACCATCTTCCTTTTCCACCCTTCTTTTAATACATGTGTTTTGTATCCAATTACACTAAATTGGAATTCTTATCTCCATCACCTTGCAGATGTTCCTCAGCAGTGTCTGATTGTTCATTTATTTGGTATTTATATGCATTTTCTCCTGTGGCACACCATAAAAACAAAAAAAGTAAAAATCCTGGAAACAATCTTTCTACAAAGCTCTTGTTTGCATGAAATGCAATGATGTATGAAAGACGAGGAGGGTGTGGTAATGCTGGTGCCCACTGTGGACATCAAAAAAGATGTTTCCTATACCGAGAACTGCGTAATGAATAAATACTGCGGATAACATAGGTCAGAGACTTTTCCTGAATCAGACACCATCCTACAACATACTAATACTCATTTTTAATATTTATATTAAGATTAAAGGCACTCATTTCAATTCAGTCGGTGGATGTGGATAAAATCAGCAATGATTTTAACTCTACTTTTTCTCTAAAACATAAATGACTGGTACTATAAGTGCTAATTTGGTCTCTGTTCATTTGAAAGATATATATTCTAGAAAATACTCTTGTGACTGGGTTGACTACCAATGTAACAACACGCGCATGATTTAACAAGGTAATAAACTAGCCAAAAGATAATAAACAACTAATATCTATAAAATGTGTAAACCTTCAGTGAATCTTTCAGCAAATGTAACTTTGATAAGTCACGCTCAGCTTAAAAATATGTCAATACAAATATCCAACTGAGATTACATCACCAGCAGGATTTGAGAAGAACATGTTCCTTATTTGTTTGACCTGACACGCTCTCACCTGTCATTCGTCCTGCTTGTTAAGGAAAACAAACACCTCAGACAGCACGGCTGCAGGCTGCTTTACATCCACCTTACTTTCTATGGATAGCTTCACTAGACAGACGGACAGACAGACGGACGGACGGACGGACAGACAGACAGCTATTTAATATTAGTAGGTGCATGCTAGCTGCAACAAGTTTGCATCTGTTAGGTTAGCAGGTTTACTTAGTTATTAGAAAGTGCTCCCGAAGATTTGGGGAACATGTTGTAACAAATAATGGTATTTTTTCCTACATGCCGTTAAACAACTAAATGAAAATCGCAGTCAAGTGTAATGAGTTATTCTTGATGCTAGAAGTGCTCTCTTGCTCTTGCTTTCAGTTCTGTGTATCATTGAGATGTTGCACACCTTCACATGATGTTAACATACGGATTACACACACACACTGAACTGTATATGGTCAATGAGAACACAAACATTATGGTACCGTGTAGCTACATAAGAAGCGCCTTCGGGTGCAAATCCTATTTGGACTTAAAATGCATACATCAACATGTAGACTTGGAGGGGGGGGGGGGGGGGGGGGGTCCTCGCAGATGTGGCTTGGCTAAATCAGGATGCCTGAAAATCATCTGTGAAAAAGCTGTTTTCAAGCAACCTCAGTGGATTTCAGAGTGATCACATCATCTTTGTAACATTTGTGGATGGCCAGTGACCCAGAAGACACTGAATCCTTCAGTCCTTATATTTCCCCTCTCTGAGTCCCTCTAATTTAAACAGCGTTTCTTCTGCTTTGCCACATAACAATGAAATGCCTCACCTCCCCATTTACAGAATGTTATCTTTATGATTGCATCATTCTAAATGTACAAATAAATAAATGAATATTAATATTAATAATAATAAAATGTGTTCTGGTGACTTGGCCTGGCATTTACTGGACATAACATCACACTGCAACACCCCACAGTGGATCTTTGTACTATACACATTTAAAGCAGACCGGCTAAAGGAGCGGACGTGACCACACCAAGTGTCACGTCTGTCAGCTAAGAACAGGAAAATGAGGCTACAGTTCACACAGAATAGCAGTATGAGAATTTGGTGTAAACATCCCAAAAGTATGGATCCATCCACCCATATTAAGCAGTTCAGGCCAGTAGCGGTGTAATGATGTGGAGGATATTTTCTTGGCAAACTTTGAAACCTTGAATTTCACATTCTTCAAATGCCACAGCCCACCTGAGTATTGTTGTTGACCATGTTTATTCCTTTATGTGTATTCAACATTAGATGGCCACTTCCAGAAGGATAAAACACCATGTCACCAAGCTCAAATCACTTCAAACTGGTTTCTTTAACATGACTATGAGTTCACTTCACTCAAATGACCTCCAAAGTCACCAGATCTCAGTCCAATAAAGCAAATTTGGGATGTTATGCCATGGCAGACTTGTATCACTGATATGCCGCTAACAGATCTGCAGCAACTGTGTGATCCAGTCACACCAGTGTGGAACAAAATCTCTGAGGGAGCTTGTTGAATCTATGTAACGAAGCATTACAGCAGATCTGAGCAACTCTGAGCACACAGATGTTAATGACAATCAGCCCGATGTGTAGAAGTTGAATGTTTACTACACTTGAGACATTTACCAAAACGTCACAATGATGCTGGAGAAATAGTGATAAAAGCCGGCACCATCATCTTTGGGGACCATTCCAACCTGTACAAAAGTTTCAAGCAACTCGTTTAACAGTTCATAAAACATTTTTTGTAATGACATTTTTTTCTCGTGTGACATTTAGCCATTTTACACACAGCTAGCTGCTTTTGGGTTTGATCAAATCATGTAAAACAGCCAATTTGTGAAAACTACTTTGTGCTCTGGAGCATTTTTCATAATTATCTGACATTTAGGCACTTCATTCAAAAACAATGATTTGCTTTCTACACCAGTGAAAAAAAGCTGCAACCCTGAAATTTCACAAAATTATAAACCTTGGAACTCTTCTTCCACGCTTCCTACCGCATTAGCAGAGCTTTAAACGTTTTTGCAGACAGATTTTAAGACTGAATGAGCGCTTTGTGCTAATTGACTGTTTTTCCATTCAGCAATTTTCTTTTTTCCCTCGCTGTCCTATTACAAGGACATGCCCTCCACGGAGAATAGTACGATCCATGCAGTATTGAGTAGAAGAAAAAAATGCTTCCGCTCTACATCCACATATTGGCCTTGTGTACAACACTATCTACAAAAGACAATATTTGGTTAATCCTTGCTGAAGATGATGTACCTGGCCTTTCCTATTAGTGTTCAGATTTAAAAAAAACGCAGCACAAACACCATCTCAGGGACAGATAAGTGCTGCCTCCTGGCTACAATCAAAGTTATAAGAGTACATGTAAGTGGCCCTCAGTTTTAGTTTTGCTTGTCTGGAGGCTAGGATTCGCCTCTCCTGCCCCTCTAACACCACACATGGGATAAAACCCAGTCTGGACCTAGAGTAGCCTCAGGAAAGGAAGGAGGTGGCGCTTGGCAGCTCACAGCTGATCCTCACAGATTCTCTGGCTTCACTGGTTGTACCTAATGACCGCCGTCTATTCTGGGATTAACAGGCAGTACTGTGATGGGATAGAAAGGTGTCTCAAAGTGTCAATAAGTGAGAAATCCAATAATAACTATAAAAGCAGCAGCCGACACCAATGGGAGGCCATGATGCAACACCGCTAATAGAACAGAGAGGAGTGGGAGTCCAGCTGAGAGGAGCATGACTTAAGGGCTTCATGCGTTGCTGTCAAGAACACAGAAAACTCAGAGTCCTTTCATGTCTGAAACTACTTCAATCACAAGAAACACTTCATGTATGGATCTATAATAGAACATATATGCACAGTTCCTCCTAGAGTGAACCTTTTATGTTGTTGCTGCACCTTCATTTTTTTTCTACTCCACATGAATTATTCCATTATTAAGACCTTTATATCTCCACATTTATATAAAACATGCCAAAACAATTTATTAAGTCAGTTCCAATCCCCATCACTCACACACACACACACACACACACACACACACACACACACACACACACACAGCAAAATGTAGTGATGTATTTAATCTACTTGAAGGCTAAAGGCAGGCTGTTAAAGGAAACTGAAAGATGTTTATTCTTTGAGGAGCATCACAGCACTGAAAACAGATTCTAAGATGACGTAAAACTTCATTTTTGTTAGCATGAGAAGTCAACACATTCAGCTTATTGGATCCTCTGGATAGTGATAAACATGGGCTTTCAGTAGTGGTTACCTTTCAGAACACAAGTTGGGTTTTGATCTTTGAAGTGAAAAAGGTACGTTTTACACACTGAATCAGAAATAAGTCTAGAATCTTTCTAATGCGTCACCTGCAAACGTTTCAAAGCACATATTCAGAATACACCAGAACAAAACAAGCGCTCTGAAAATTTATCAGCCCAGCAATTCCTGAATACTGGCCTTTGTGGCTCATTGGTTACTGAATATTTTAGTTTTGCACTTAGAAGTAAAATCACGACATTCTCTGAGCAGGGAAATGAATAACAAAACTATCCGTTTTACTTGGTGCATGTTGTCAGGTTCAGGGCATTCTTCTTTGTAACTTGAAGCTCCACCATGAAACAGTTCAAGTCCTTCAAGGATGCTCCTGTGATGTTTCAGAGCAAAATAAATGACTTGATGGTATCTGAGCCTTTAAAGTCTTTGATTTTATTTTCACACAATACCATTACAAATATGTTTCAAGGTCATATACTCTGCATCACAAACAATGATTTTCTTCACACTGAAGAAAAGTTTGCATCATTAAAAATCAGTTGTGGGGCTTGAAAGGTTTAGGCCTGCATATGAGAAACACCAACTGCTGTTACACTGTAACAAAGTCTGAATGTCTGAAATCAAGGTACAGATCTCAGGTTCTTAATACTTACGACAACATAAAACACTGATCATTACTCACTTACTGGTTTTTACTGTGATTTCAGACCATAATGTGTACTCCACCCTGGAAATTAAGATGGACGGATAATAAATACTCCGGATTCACCCCAGTTCAGGAGCCACGGCTGGCTACGTTAGCAATCCCCCATCTCCCGATGTGGGCTCTGCTTAGGAGTCGACTCATCTGCTCTGCCTGTGATCAGCTCCAACTGCCTCGGACACACTGCTGAAACCCTGATCTCTGTGGAAGCAGACACAGCAGCGTAGGTTATAAGTATTTGTCCTGAGAAGCAAAAGGACCGGAATAAACTGATGGAAGCCTGTGCTCCAAATTTGTATCCTGTAATAACATAAGATTTTAGGCACAGCTGTTTCATGCCTTGCTGAGGTGTGCCAACAAAGGTACTGATAAAACTGAGGAGTGATACAGTCTGGTTAAATGGTTGCTGTATGCATGTACAAAAGTTCTTCTGAAAATGCAATGAAAGGGAAGTTTTTGGGGGCTGGTGATTGCTGCTGTCTCAGACTTTAAACAATCATATATAAATAAGGATCCTCCGACCTAGCAGCTAAATATCGGTATATCACATCAGCCTGGCTACATAGTAGAGTAGTTATTGGGCAAAAAAAGATGTCATCTACTGGCTGCTGTATGTCTGTTATCATGTTAACACACCTTTACACTGGCTTTAAAAAAGGGGGGGGATGAAGAGGTTTTAAAACACACAGGGAGGAGTGAACGATAAAGTATCGCCAAACTCTTATTTCAACATGGATATTGGCTAAAGAGTTTAAACCTTTAGCAAAACTTATAGTATGAATACAATCTTCATTGGTGTTAATACAGAACACACAAGTTTGTGTTTCTTCATACTATAACCATTCCTGGAGCTTTAACATCTTCAGATTTTTTATTTTTCCTTCTATGTTCACCTTCAAACTAAGTGAAGTTGTACTTGAAGCCTCTATTCTGTTTCTACAAGCTTGCATATCAGCCCAGACAGTCACAATTCTTGTGTCCCTACACTAAAATTAAAATTTATAAACAGTAGGAACAACATCCAATAGTTCTAAGAAAAATGTGTCCTAAACAAGAACAACTCTTAAAATAAACTATTAAAAACACCAGAAAAATTCTTAAACCTTTCACTTGAGAACTCGGCCTTAATGGTTATTTTCATACTCACTTAAGAAGCTGTTCCAGTTCTCGCTTTATCTTTATCACTACAGGTGGACCCTGATAGGTCAAAGCAGTGTAGAGCTGAACCAATGATGCACCAGCACGGATCTTATCCATTGCATCCTGCCCACTAGCAACACCGCCAATCCCAATAATTGGTATTTTACCTACAATAATAACAACATACAGGAAATTTACTTTATATGCATAGTCGATACTGAGGGAGATGGACATAACTCCGTACCTTTGGTGAGGTTGTACATCTCTCTGACAGTTGTAGTAGAGAGGTCTCTGAGAGGTTCTCCACTCAGCCCTCCAACCTCAGACTTATTTGGGTCCTGAAGTGTCTCTGGCCTTGACACAGTGGTGTTAGACACCATTAAACCATCCACTCCCAGCTGGAAACACAGAGCATAAGCGGAGATAGAAAGTAGGTGTCACAGGTGGCGGCACCTACAGCAGCAGAACTGATGTATGTATGCGAGTGACCTCTGATGTGAAATACTCAGTGACAAAGAAAGAGACAAAGTGTGATTCGCTTTCTGTTCCGTCCTCAATGTCACATCTACTAAAGTGCAACTCCTCACCGCTCCAATGAGCACAAAAACCTACTGAAGTAGTGACAAGGTTACCCGAGCACAGAGGAGGAAGGGAGCCATGTGAAGCTTTACGCAGAGTTAAGGCTGTTTTTTTTTTTTAGTTTTTAGATAAAGCATGTTTTACTTTAGACATAACAATGATTCCCACCTCAGTGACGACATCAGCAATGTCTTGTTTGTCTTGGGCAGTTAGGTCAGGAGCAATCTTCACCAGGACGGGAGGTTTACGCTGTTCCTGCAGGGCATCACGTTCTTTCTGCACCTGAGCAGATAGTGCAAGTGATGAGGTAGAGAGACTAGTTAGAAAGATGGTTTACTGTGGCATAAGATCTAAAGCCTTGGAAATAGGAAGGCCTAAAAATACAGCCTATGGTTCAAGAACTGATGTACAGAAAAGAGACTTTGGAGCTACAGATTTTATTACATTGAATACCTAACATATACCCATCAAATCCACTTGAATGGCTTTCTAATTATTTTCAGTCAACCTAACGGGGAGTTTATAAAAATGCCTTTTTTTAAATTCCATTATTACCCATCACTACCCAATCTGAACCAGTAAAGCCAATGAGTACTCAAATTGGTGCTGATGGGGCATGAAGCTTTTATCACAGATGTCGCAGTTCTGTGACATTCATTAACCCTGTCCTTGACTTATTTTCCCCTTTTGCTGCAAGGGAAAACAACATTTGCTTCTCACTGGAGGGGTGTGGGTGGAGGAGGGTGGTGGTGGGTGTGGGGGGGAAATACTACAGCTGGGGAAGCTGTAGAAGTTAAAGCAAAACCAACACGGGAGAAATACTATCGATTATACAAATATCAGCTGAACAAATCACTGTTGAAACCATTTTTCAGTACACAAAGGCAAAATTAGCACATGGCTACAGGTCAGATTCAAAGCATTGTGTTCAAGTTACAAAAAACTACAAACTGTTACGTCAAAAGAGCAGCACATATGACCTAGTGGCATCTAGCAGTGAGGTTGTGGATTATAACTTCAGCCTTGAATAGCATCCTCATCGTCACTTTTCAAGAGTGTAGTCTACAGGTTAGTAAAGATAGACAGGTTATGTTGAAGAATAGAGGTGATCATACCAAATTATCAACTTCAGGCTTGTTAGAACTGCTTCTTACAAATGTTATTGTCTTATAAACTGTATTACATGGCATGCGTCCATTAATCACTGCACCAATATGCCGGTGAGGATTTGTTTGTGCTTCTCAGTGTTTGCAATTCAATTATCACTTCTGTAGTCCTACTGTGTGCAGAAGCTGGCGAAGCTCAGCCTTGCCCTGTAGATCCCGGAGACCTGGTGTATTAGGGCTGCTAACGTTGACCACCAGGTAGTCGGCCAGCGGGCCCAGCACTTTCACGCCCTCCAGATAATCTGTCCCCGCATCCTGTGACAGCTTGTTCTTCCCCAGGTTGATGCCGAGGGGAAGGCCAGCTATAAACAAACATGCACACACACACAAACAGGAAAGTTCAGAAAACACAGACACAGGTTGCATCATCAGGCACATGACTCAACTGGGGCACAAGTTGCTGACGTGCTAAATGAGATTTAAGTAAGTATGCAGGCGTGATTAAAATACAAGATGAGGAAAGGTCAAGATCATTAAAAACATATTTAACCTTATACATAATTTAATGCTGACATCCCACATCTCAAGCCACCAAAAAAACAAAAGTATGTAAGATCTAAATGAAAGTGAACTATGTAATCTCTGGTGCCACATTTACAGTACTTCAGAGAATACAAAGAGAATCTGCTAACCTTTACTTCGCCCTTGCTGCCTTTCTTCTCTGGCCTTCAGCCTCGTGTGTACTTCTGCCAGACCACAGCTGTTGAATCCATATCTACACACAGAGGGGGTAAAAAAAACCCTGTTAAAACATTGGCTTAAACTCTATGCACGTACCAACAGACAAACTGAAGCTTAACCCTCTCAGGCCCAAATTAAGTTTTTTGTTGCTAATGCACAACCAAGTCCTGCAGTGGTACTTCTGAGTAAAAGAAACTCATAAAATAAGTATGTGGGGTAATCAGGTTGTCAGTTCTTAACTGTTGCAAATCTGCAACGTCTGCCTGGAGAGGGTTAAAATCATGTCTGTCCACACACACACACACACACACACACACACACCACACACACACACACGCACACACACACACCACACCACACACACACACACACACACACCCACACACCCTGTTTAGTAAAGAATGTAATTAACTGACCAAATGTCACATACAGTCAAAAAACTATAGGTTTGTTATGGCACGTAATTTTGTACAAGACATGATAATGTGACAGTCAAGCTGACCTTTGACATTTCGACATCATATTAAACATCTTTGAAATCATGAGTGCATGAAATCTCTACCTATGTAAGAAAAACCTATAATCATCTCAGAAACATGTAATTTAATGCAAAAAAATCCAGTGATGAATTACTAATGCTTGTTTGTTGTATATGCTCAGACCTGCAAACATCCAGTGCAAGTATCAGTATAACTAATATCTGGCTTACTTTTTGACATCATTCTACCTTTCTAGTATTTTCTACAAGCAAACATCCTCTGCTTCCGGATTAGGCTGGCAAATGCACTAAAGCAGCGGTCCTCAACCCCTGGGCCTCGGACCGGTACCGGTCAGTGAGTCGTTTGGCACCGGGCCGCGAGAGTTGAGGCTCGGGTGTGAAATGCATGGTTTTCAGGGTTTTTATCGGTTTTCAGCATTATTTTGTTATCGTTTTTATTGTTAACTCGGTTTTCCTGGGTCTTTTCACATGTGTTATGAATAAATCTTCTTTTTTTCGGTACCGGTACTAGTTTTATTTTGTTGTATTTATCCGAGACACCTTAAAGGCCGGTCCGTGAAAATATTGTCGGGCATAAACCGGTCTGTGGCGCAAAAAAGGTTGGGGACCGCTGCACTAAAGGATATGAACAGCAGATGTGGCAAAAGTACAGACTTTCTTCGCTTAATTCATTCAGTGAATTAATGTAAGTATCCTCATTGTAAATGCAATTTAATCTCTGCTATGTAACCTAAATGTGAGCATGAGCACCACTGTGGCCCAGTCCAACACAGACCTTTAATTCACCAAATTACTGCAAAACACATCAAATACAGATCCAATATGTGATTCAAATTACACATAAGCTGTAAGTTGTCTGAAAAATAAATACTCAAGTACAGTACAGGTACCTGAAAATTCTACTTAAGTATTTGCACTTTGTTACTTCCCACCTCTGATGTCAGTGTGATGTGCATTTACATAAGAGTTCGACAGGTTACTTACAAGCCAGTGATATTATTTATATTGGCGCTGAGTGTCCTATACTTGCTGCTGTATCGTCCTGAATGACAGGTGTCACTACACAGACAAAACCTAAGCATCAGCACTAATGTAAGTCAAAAAAGCAGAGAAAAGATTTTCTCTTTCCTAGCTGTTGCATCATTGCCCTCTGAATAATTTGGGAAACTCACTGACATGACGGTAAAAACCAACATGAGCATACACTCGTGTCTTCGACATGGCTGTGGTGAGGTACACGACTGGCCAAAAACAGCATCAAAAACACAACACCTGTTGTCGTCATCATTGTCGTAAGCGCACGCCAAAAGTGACGTCACACACCAACACTGATGCTGCGGTTTTGGACAATTTACGACACCTACCATTCAGGAGAATACTGCCCACAACCTCAGTGGCAGTGTTGTCTGTGTTTAAACAGTTGCAAATGATCTCTCATATCGCTCATGAACGACATGTTGTCATTTCAAACAACAAAGGACATTTCTGTCACAAGATAAAAGCTGCAATCAGTGCTCGGCAAAGAGATTTAATATATTCTTTATTTATTAAGTCTCACTGAGATTTAAAATCTCTTTTTCAAGAGCAATCCAGCCAAAAGGGCATCAGGAATGACAACAAATAGAACTTAACAAACTTAACAGTTCTACAAAGATGTTCATCCAAAAAATTGTAAAACTCCTTCATAAATCCTGTCGATTACAGACTATTTACAACTAAAGATAAGGTTATTAGACATAAAACACACACAACCATGAGCCATCACTTTTTACTTTCAGCTAAGTATGTCAACCTAAAGACATAAAACAGGCCTTTTAAAGCACCAACTGTGGTGCAGCACTTCCAACCTCACCTGTTGATTATTGCATTATCTGCAGTGAGGCGAAACACGCGTGGCTTCGGGTTCCCCTCCTGAGGTTTGGGAGTAACTGTCCCCACCTCAACAAAGCCAAAGCCCAGTTTGTACAAGCCATCAACGGCTTCTCCGTGCTTGTCGAAGCCGGCCGCAATCCCAATCGGGTTTTTGAACTTTAACCCAAGGACGTTGACTTCCTGCAGACAAACAGAACAAACCCTTAGAGAAGTCCAGAAGCGCATGCAACCCACTGAGGAGACAGCCCTGTGACATGCTTACCAATGACGCAGGGTCCTGGTAACGGTTCAGAGGTACCAGACCCAAACCTATCATCTTCACTGCCAGCACATGGGCTGTCTCAGGCCCCACAATCCTCTGCAGCAGGGGCATTAGCTGGTTGGCATAGAAACGCTCATCTCCAGTCACAGTGAGGTAGGAAGCGAACAGGAGGCTACCTGAGCTGATGACCTTCACGGCTTCTTTTAACTTTTTCTGTTGAACGGTGATAAACATCATGTGAACAGACTGCTAAGAGTTCAATACGACTACTCACTCTGTTTACAATGACACAATCTGGGGTTGAATAAACAGACACAATACAAATAAAAGTATGTGTGGTATCAAACACATACCTCACTCATGTGTGTTTTAATACGAAAATGCATTTCAAATGGACAAAAAATAAAGTATTATTAGTAAAAAATAAAAAAATAAAAAAATTAGTTTTACTTTTTGAGGTCAGGTTTGGTCCCTGTCAGTAGTAGATGCAAGATACGCATTAAAAAACTTAAACAGCAGACTTTGTTCAGCTTTCTTAGAGTAAATGCAAATAAACCCAATAACAACTCATTCATTGCATGCTTGTGTTTACGCAGTAAAACGAGAAGAGACGTTACTGTTTTACAGTAATATTACTTTCAGGCAGAGAAAACGAGCTAGCAAACAGGAGCACAAGTATCGCTGCGACGCTGAAACCCTGCCAGACAAACTCTGTTGTCCACGGTCTCTGACGTTACCTTCAATCCCGCCATAGACGCAGTTTTGCCTTCGCAATAAAGGGCATTGAATGTATTTCCTAACATGTTACACAAACCCACGCGGTGTTAACTTCCGGCACATCATCTCGCGATATTTCAATCATGGGCGGGCGGACAGTGACATTCTCAGATACCACGGGTGATTAAAGTTGACGTGCATTACACTACATTACGTGTGTATTAGATTTAATACAGGTTTTTTTTGGTAATTATTTTTTTAATAGCCTCTATTTTTTATTCAGTCTAGTGTCAGTTGGTTTCCAGAGTGGATTTTCTCATTTCAGTTTAGTTTTTATTGTTGTGAAAAAGTTTAGTATTATTTTTTTTAATCTTATTTAATTTTTATGCTTTATTATTGTATGGAGAGCATATGTTGGGGACAAGACTTAGGAAAAGCAGTACAATAAAAACACAGAATTTCTTGAAAGTAGTTCAAGTCTGTTGTACACAAAGTCTTAATAAACATGTTCATCTAAGCCTCATTAGGTGTACTGTAATAAAATTAATACCAGACTAACATGAAATAAAACTCAGGATATTTCCTCATTTTAATTTAATTGAATTGAATTTTAGTTTTCCAAATTCATCAAACTCTTTTGATTTTATATATTTTTTTCAAAAGTCAAATTTTTATTTTTATTTAATTAAGTAATTTTTTTAGTTTAGTATTAGTTAACTATAATGCCTTAGACAGGGAATAGGCAGGGAATTTAAGAAGAGAGACCTGATTAAGTATTAACCTCTTAACCCCTAGTGTATCATATTTGATACATACAGTTTTTGTCAGACTTCTACACCATCAGTGTGATTTTTTTTCCACTGAAAAAAACACAAAAAATTGCACAAAGTCCTCAGGAACTTCTACAGATGTACACTGTTCAGGAAAGCATGTGGTAAAAAAACTGCACAGTACATCACTTTACAGTAGCAGGGTTGTTAAGACAATACTCACCCACAACACAGCCTGTTCACACATTTGCCCTCAGGTAAACTGTACAGAAGGCTGAAATGAATGATTAAAAGACTCTCACTTCTATCCACAGGCCATCAGACTCCTGAATATGTCAGCACAACCCTCTCCCACCCCATCACTACTGTTCACTGCTACTGTAATTATTATATTCTGCTGTTGCTGGGACAGATATATTTCCAGACTAGCTCAAGGCATTTCTTTAAACTCATTTAATTTTTTTTGCATATTTATTACTTATAAGCATAAGTAATAAATTATTTAATAGTAATAAATAATAATAAATCATTAATTAATTAATCATTATCATAAGTAATAAATCATTTTCCTTTGTAAATTTCTTGGATCTTTATTGTTATTTTATTAGAATGCTATAATTGTTTTGTGTGAAGGGAGACTGACAAAATAAGAATTTCACTGTACATTGTAAACCATTGTGTTTATCTCCACTGTGCATATGAGAATGAAACTTCATAACTTCTGGTAACAACAGGGTAATACTGAACAACAGTAGACTACAGGGATCATAACAATGGACAGCTAAAGCAAAAAGAAGACAAAGAAAGAAAAGAAAATGCAAACGACTAATAAGAAGATGCTTCTCACAAAAAGTCAACACGAAGACAGGCAAGTGTTGATTCAAGAATTATTTTGGGGGAAAAATGTCATTGTAATGGAATAAAGTGTTTTTACTGTTAACTGCAAATCAAACAATGGAATTGTCCTTACTCTTAGAAGGTCAGCCTGATTGGCCTTTAATGACACTGAGTGATTCCTTCAGTTTGCATCTTGTTTGAGTGTCTCGGGTAATTTTCCTAATGTATTAAGAACATATGCAGGGTTTCTCTGGAGAAAGCTCCCTGATTTTCATGTGATGGATTGAAGTGACCTTGCTCAGTATCTGTTCCAGCCACAGTTCGAGCAGCACTAAGCGCTCGTGCTCTCCACAGAACAATAACAATGGATACGGTACTCCGGACAGCTGTCTTTGTGTGGATTTCAGCTGGATTTCTGTGTGTAGCTGAAAGAACCGAGAACTGTCCAGGAAACAACTTCACGGCAAACTGTGAATTTGTTTTCAGAAATGTATGTTTCGAGTTTGTTGGAGAACCGAAAACCTATTCCCAGGCTAGGAGCAGCTGTGAAAAGCAAGGAGGAGAGCTCCTGAAGGTGATGAACAACCCAACCAAAATCTTCTTGTACAACATAACTCAAGACTGGAACACCAACTTCAATCACACATGGTGGCTTGAAAAGACAGTTGGAGAGGATAACTGGAAATCCACCGATAGTAAGTAAAATACACAAACACAACATGCATTTTGGTGCCGTAATTTTATTTTCTGTTGCACAGGTTATTGTGCTTTTGTGGCCTGTGAGTTTTCAAGTGAAGGCATGTCTGACAGACGTTGGGAAAGAAGAAAAGAAAAAAGTAATACTTGTCTGTTTGAATTGATCAATCACCAGTGCTTTGGGTTTTTTTGGTTTTTGGGGGGGTTTTTTGGAGGGGGGGGGGTTGCTAATGGTTTAATCACAATAGTTTTGTTGGCAAGCAATAAGATACTGAATGTCGATTGTCAGTTTAGCCCACTCTGTGAGCAAGTAAGTCCTTCTCTCTCTCACTCAACTTCCCTGTCTGTCTTCACTGCTCCACTATCTAAAAAATCTAAATGCCATAAAAATAATCTTAAAAAAGAGACTGAATGTCTTGTTTGCTTTAAACAACCCTCAAATCTCTTCACTAACTGTGGCAGTGTCATCATGAGTCTCTCACTGAAATACTGCCATTTTCAAATCAACCAGGACCTGAAAGTAAGTTCAGGTCACTATATCGTTAAGAAGAAATAATTATACATTACAATAAATTGACATAAATGTAAGAGAGGTTGATGACGTTTGTGTGCTGAGAAAAGGCTGGGTTTCATTTGAATTTTTGTCATGTCACCAGCACCAATTGAATTTAAATATTTTTGAATATGTTCCCTTGGGTGTGTAAATATTTTGTTTTGTTTTTGTTTTGTTTTGCTTTTTAAAGAAGATTCATGTCATAAAATAAGACAAACTTGCAGATCACAATAAATAAATTACCCAATAAGATTTCCAACACTATTTGCTTCCTGTGAGGGATTAGGTTAAGGTTTTTTTTTACTTTGCGTCTTTATGCGAGGCCTGCTTTGGAGGGTGAGACGAGTCAGGCTTGGTAGAGCCTGAATAAAGCTCGATGAGCTAACCGCAGGTCTTCTGCAGAGGGTTCGAGGATAGCCTGGTTGCATATTGTCCAGCTGTGGGAGAGCGCATATTCTCTTGTCTAGAAGTGAAAGTAGATGTAGACAAGGAATGAAGGTATAAGGAAATCTCTGTGAAATGAAATCCTTCAAAACTAAATGAACACCTGTGCTGATAACTCTTCTCCTTGATTATATATTTTATGCTTTACACCCATGTCTCCAGAATATGGAAATTTGTTTCCACATCTGTAACAAAGAAAACTTTTTGTGTTTCTCAAGCGTTGAGAAAACAGCTTGAAATTTCAAGTTATTAGGTCAAAATGTTTAGATAATAATACAAAATTTTAACTTATGGTGGCAGAAATAAGTTTCCGTACCTGAAGGATTATCTCTACGATGAGATGTTTGCCTCATAAGATTCCCACAACACTACCAGGATCAAAAAGGAAAATCTGCTCCATCCACCTGTGTTATGATCATTCAAATGTGTGTTTTTAATTACATAAAGCAAGAAATGAGAAGACTTTACACATGGCTTTATGTGGCTTCTGGGATCATCTGTTTACATTTTACCTATAGATTATTGATTTGTAAATAATTAACCGTGTATTGACAGTTGCAGCCCTGTTAGTTGTTGTCTCGTTGTTAAACCTTTGTCTCAAAAACTAACCTTTCCTAATGCCATTTCTTTTCAACAGAAAACACCTCATGTACATACATGAAGCTGAATCCTCTCCAGCTCGTAACGTCTGACTGTAAAAAGAAAAGAGGCTTCCTCTGCACCCACAGTACGTGAAGCTTTCTGATCCGAGCTTTAACCTAACCAGATTTGTTTTCATTCTTCATTTGTGCTCTTTCATTCATAACATAACTTTGTGTTTTAAAGGTTTACAGTCTCCCTCAAACACAAAGGTAAGACAAATAAATTTCACAGGCAGTAATAAGCCATGCAAGCCTCCAAGACTCAGCTTTCATATTGTCCACCTTGTTCATGTTTTCTTTGTAGTGTACCGAAATTTCCAGCCATGCAACCAAACTTCGTAAGTTAGAATGCACTTTATTTGTGTCTTCTTATTCAACACCCTAAATGACATAAATCTAGTGTTGTATCGCTTATTTTTTCCCTTTTCTTTTCTTTTTTTTACTGGACCTTGTTAAACATCACATACTCTTTGATTCCAGGGCACAAAAGGGGTCTACTTTCAGATTTAATTCAAAACCTTAACGATCCAACGATCCAAACAATCCTTAAAACAGCTTTGGGTACCTTAAACATTAACGTATTTCTCAAGGTGAGACAAATCATTTTACATATCAACATTTTTTTTTATAAATTATGAGGAGCTTTGAATTACAATTTTTTTTTTTTTTATAAAAAAGCACCCCAGAGTTAAAAGCTGTCCCTTGTTTCTGAGACAGGATGCAGACAGAGTACTAAATACGATGGACGTGACACCAGGGGAACCGACAAATAGCAACAGGGTGGGTACCTTTATTTACGAAAGCAAGAACACTTTCATCATTACTGTTTTTAGTTTTGTACTGTTATTTTTTTTAATTGACATTTAGGAATCACTGTACCATACCATCAACTTTAGCAATTTGTTACTACATCCTCCTCCCTTTTTCTGTATTTAAACAACTAAAATATCGATACAAAAAGAATGAAAGAAGAAGAAAGAAAAGAAAGAAAAAAGAAAAAGAAGCAAAACAGAAAAATAAATAAAAAATACAAAGGAAAAAAAAGGCATGTAGGGAGTGTGTTTCTGTTTCCATTAATATAACTTATATTTCCTCTAGTCTTCAAAGGTAAATATCTTCCAAATGTCTCTTGTATTTCTGCATGTATTCCCTTCCAATAAGTTTTAATAACATGACAGTCCCAGAAAATATGATAGTGATTTGCATTTGTATTTCCACAATTTCTCCAGCAAGTGAGAGGGTTACCTTCATAGTGAGATTTTTGGTGAGGTGTAATAAAATATCTTATCAGGTTTTCCACCCAAATTCCCTCCAGCTCTGTGAGCTGCTACATTTCCATTGATATGCCCATATTGTCATCATTACTGTTTTATTCTCATGTTTTTATATTCATGCTGTGCTAAATTCTCCCTCCTTTTTCTTCCAAAAGGAAGCATTCGTGAGTAATTTGTTGAAAAGTGTTGCGTTACTGAACGTCTCATTTGCTTTGAACAACACCGAGACACTCAATCACATCCTCAACTGCAGCAGTGCCATCCTGAGTCTGTCACTGAAAAACTGCGATCTTAAAAACAACCCAAACCCTAAAGTAAGTTCACGTAACTACATCACCAGCAACATAAATGTCTCTGTTATTGTTTCAGCTCTCACACTGGAATGATGTTTTTTCTTCTCCAGGATTTGTTTGGAGATGTCTTTAAGATTTTTGCGAAAGTTGCTAACCTGCTATCAGGAGAGAACGAATTTGTCATGCAATACCCAATGGGCACCATTTATCAGAAAACGTGGGTATTTTGCTTTAAAATGTCACTTGCCTCTGCTTTAAAGACTTTTACATATAAAATTAATTTTCCCCTCCATCAGACAAAAACCTGCTGACATTGGCAATTCAGTGCTGGGTTCAGAAAAAGTTGGCAATTCCGCTAAGCTCCCTTCAAATTCAGTGCTTGGACCAGTGCTTAATAAGTACAACAACATCATCTCTCAGGTCTGAGTATGTGTGTGTGTTATCATCATTAGTGTTTTTATCTTTGCTGACATCCACAGCCTGTTTAACTGAGCATTTGTCACTATTAGATGACTACGTTCAATGAAAATCCCTATCCATCTGAAGACAACATAACAGGGAGTGTGTGCAGCCTTTCACTTAGTGATGGAACGCAGGACATTAAGGTGGCAAACCTGACAGAGATGGTGGAGGTACAGCCAACTTACTGCTTACTGTATGAGAACAGCTCAGTCGACATTATTCATTATACAGTGGACATTTTGACATTGCAGTGTCTTGCAGTTGTAGTAGAAAAAGACAGAAAAACAAAAATAAATACACAATTAGACAAAACATAATAAACATGCTGAGATGCTTACGCAGACAATGAAGCCACAAAACAAAACAAACAACATAAAAACGGTTCAAAATAATCACATACAAAGTCCAAAAATTCATAATGTTTAGTCATTTAACTTACATACTGTTTTTCAAGCCTTCATCCTCAGTGTACTCCAAACATGCTGTCTTCCTGAACTCCTCTTTGCCAACACACCTGCCAATATCAAATTTCTCCGCACAGTCAATACACCCAATGCAATTACAAAAGTGACATCACAGCTATAGAAAAATTAAGAAAAAAAATCTAATCGCAAATCTTGTTTTATTGTCAGTTTTGAAAATATCAGTACCGGGAGGTATGAAAGTGCACAATAACCTACTGGAAGCACAAAGGCACAATTACTTAGATGAGATCAATTATATGCGTATGCATCAATAACATGACGTTAATAATTAACTGTTTAAACATCGTGATTAGTGTCAATTATCTTTACTAAAATAACATGATTTAAGGTCATAGTTTTACTTTTTTGTTTTATTTAATTTTTGAATAAGGAATACCAGCAGTTCCTTCATTTGCTAATTGTTTCAAATGTCAGTTGTCACAGGAGGTGACTTTTACATTCTTAGTGTAGCTACAGTTAGAAGAATGGAGGTGTAAGTACAGTAAAGCTTTCAGTGATGCCTGGTTTATAGTTTTAATCGTTTCTAATATGTAACTAGTAAATAACCGATTAAATATGAATCAAGATGGGTCGGTTAATACTAGGAAGCTTGCTTTAAAACAAAAACATCTGAATATTTAATTTTAAAACCCAGACTGAAATAAGATGTTTTTCTTCATACCACAAATTCTTTCCTTCCTTTCACCAGATCTTTTTGGCTCGTCCAAATGCTGCAGCTCTGATCAACACTACTGTCGTGTTAGAGAAAAGCTCAAAATCGGTGACTACACTCAATGTCTCAGACCCTAATGTGACGATCTTCTTCGGCGTGGAGCCCAATGTGAATGTGTCACTGGTTCTCCTCTTGTCTCATGGGTTGCCTCCTAATAACACAAACTACAGCAACAGAACTGTACTGAACCGCACAGGTAGCTGTCAGCAAAGTCAAATTAGGTCACTAGAATGGCCACACCTCGCTCTGGTATTATTTATATGTACTGATCATAGCAAAAACACTTATTTATGCAGTATATTTAAGTTTTGTTTTCGGGGGGTTTTGCTTTTTTGCTTTAGAGGGATTTCGCTGGATGATAACACCAGAGATGTTACAAAAGACTCCTGGGATTTGGTATATTGATACAAGAGTTTCTGATTCTGAATGGCAGCCAGACATGAACCTGAAGATCACCACTTTTACGAGCAAGTGCCTGTACTGGAACACAGACGCAAAGAAATGGAGCACTGAAGGCTGTATGGTATGTTTTCCCCTGGATAAAATCTGATCATTTGGCTCTGCATGCACTATAATATTCTAGCATAGGTGAGTACCAGTCAGTCATGTGTTGTGTTTTTCCTCAGGTGGGGAAAGAAAGCACTCCGCACCGAACGCAGTGTCTCTGTAATCACCTCACTATCTTTGGGAGCTCCTTCTTTGTGATGCCAAACTACGTCGACATATCCCGCACTGCAGAGCTGTTTGCCACTGTGAATCAGAACTATGTGGTGCTGGCCCTGCTGTGTGCATTTTTCGGACTCTACCTGATGACACTGCTGTGGGCCTGCTATGCTGACCGGAGGGCACGCACAAGGGTCAGCCTGTCTCCCGCCAGTTTTCATAAATCCAGCCTTTTTTTGCATGTATATTTTCATGTTATTTAACATCACAATGTTGTATGTTTTTGAACCATCAGAGAAAGATGACACTCTTGGAGGACAATCACCCAGCTGCACAGTACAGCTACCTGATCGGCATCCAAACTGGACGCCGCAGAAATGCTGGGACCAGTGCCAATGTAAGTCTTTTTTCCACTGACAGCAGAGATGGGCAGATCAATCAAAATATCATTTCAACTCAGTTTTATTTATATAGTGCCAAATCACAACAACAGTCATCTCAAGGCGCTTAGTATCAATAATACTAATACAAGTGCTGGTATTAGTATTATTGATACTATCACAATAGGATTGATACTTTGCTTGTATCCTCTAAGTTCAGTATGTAGTCCACTGAACTGTGTTAAATATTCTTTTAATGAAAAATATACCTCAAACATGCTCTATTAAAAATCTCTGAAGCCTTTCGTGTTGATGGTCACGTCTTTATTTGTAGCTGATGGCACAATATAGCTTTAGAGACACATCAACATTCCAGGTCGCAGTTTCAAAATACACAAAAAGCTGCGAAGCATTGCTTTGTTGCATTAACTAAGTTTTGTGAAAAGTACAAATCACAGTTTTTAGTGGTCATTAAAATGTGTTTAGAATTTGCAAATTGATGATGACTCATCTGATACATCATGACCCATTGCTTTCCCCTGCAAAGTGTCGATCTTCACAATACTGGCCCTGTATTTACACGGTATCAGATTGATACCAAAATTTGCAGTATCATGCAGCACTGACAATCACTACCTTACAGACAGGCAGTGGATTCAGTTCAGTTTATAGTGGGAATTTAGTTGATAAAGAACATTTACATTTAAAACAAGTCAATATATTTGTTAAAAAGAAAAAAAAAGCTCCATTTAGGCAAACAAGAAGCAAACACGGCCATCGGAAAAAGGACTATGTAAATATGGGCGCCTCCCTAAAGGATAGGCTCATTTAAATTTTACTACATGTAGAAGACTATAAACCACAATCACTGCGGATAAGAGATGATTACAGAAAACAAACCCGATTCAACGCTCAGACAGGCATCTTAGTGTTGTTTTCAGACAGGATGACATACCTGTCTTTAATGAATAAGACTATTTTACAGCCAACTCACAACTTCCCACTGACACTGGATTACTGGATAGGTTGACAGAGTCACTCACTATAACAACAATACTATGATAACTATAAATGAAGAAGTATGAAAGAAATTCCTAAGGACTACATGTCAAAGAATATTGTTAACTTGTGTTTTCCTAACATTATTTTGTCAAGCACTAATATTATATCTACAAGAAGAGGGAAGGTACTTAAATTAATGGAAGCCGGTTTGAAATTACATATGAAATCCCTCTAGAAACCTCGGTCACCGGTTATGTCAAGTCTTCACAGTTTGTTGCACAAGGCCAAAAATAGTGCGGTCCTTCAAGTACAGGGAGTGCAGAATTATTAGGCAAGTTGTATTTTTGAGGAATAATGTTATTATTGAACAACAACCATGTTCTCAATGAACCCAAAAAACTCATTAATATCAAAGCTGAATGTTTTTGGAAGTAGTTTTTAGTTTTAGCTATTTTAGGGGGATATCTGTGTGTGCAGGTGACTATTACTGTCCATAATTATTAGGCAACTTAACAAAAAACAAATATATACCCATTTCAATTATTTATTTTTACCAGTGAAACCAATATAACATCTCCACATTCATAAATATACATTTCTGACATTCAAAAACAAAACAAAAACAAATCAGCGACCAATATAGCCACCTTTCTTTGCAAGGACACTCAAAAGCCTGCCATCCATGGATCCTGTCAGTGTTTTGATCTGTTCACCATCAACATTACGTGCAGCAGCAACCACAGCCTCCCAGACACTGTTCAGAGAGGTGTACTGTTTTCCCTCCTTGTAAATCTCACATTTGATGATGGACCACAGGTTCTCAATGGGGTTCAGATCAGGTGAACAAGGAGGCCATGTCATTAGTTTTTCTTCTTTTATACCCTTTCTTGCCAGCCACGCTGTGGAGTACTTGGACGCGTGTGATGGAGCATTGTCCTGCATGAAAATCATGTTTTTCTTGAAGGATGCAGACTTCTTCATGTACCACTGCTTGAAGAAGGTGTCTTCCAGAAACTGGCAGTAGGACTGGGAGTTGAGCTTGACTCCATCCTCAACCCGAAAAGGCCCCACAAGCTCATCTTTGATGATACCAGCCCAAACCAGTACTCCACCTCCACCTTGCTGGCGTCTGAGTCGGACTGGAGCTCTCTGCCCTTTACCAATCCAGCCACGGGCCCATCCATCTGGCCCATCAAGACTCACTCTCATTTCATCAGTCCATAAAACCTTAGAAAAACCAGTCTTGAGATATTTCTTGGCCCAGTCTTGACGTTTCAGCTTGTGTGTCTTGTTCAGTGGTGGTCGTCTTTCAGCCTTTCTTACCTTGGCCATGTCTCTGAGTATTGCACACCTTGTGCTTTTGGGCACTCCAGTGATGTTGCAGCTCTGAAATATGGCCAAACTGGTGGCAAGTGGCACCTTGGCAACTGCACGCTTGACTTTTCTCAGTTCATGGGCAGTTATTTTGCGCCTTGGTTTTTCCACACGCTTCTTGCGACCCTGTTGACTATTTTGAATGAAACGCTTGATTGTTCGAGGACGTTGCCTAATAATTATGCACACCTGATATAGGGTGTTGATGTCATTAGACCACACCCCTTCTCATTACAGAGATGCACATCACCTAATATGCTTAATTGGTAGTAGGCTTTCGAGCCTATACAGCTTGCAGTAAGACAACATGCATGAAGAGGATGATGTGGACAAAATACTCATTTGCCTAATAATTCTGCACTCCCTGTATATACAGTCTGGGTCACTTCACCGGTACGCTGTGCTCTCCCGCAGGTCACAGTGAAGCTGATTGGCTCAGAAGCAGAGAGTAACGTACACACTCTCACAGACCCAGAGAAGCCAGTGTTTGAGAGAGGATCTGTTGATTATTTCGTGCTGACCACACCCTTCCCACTGGGTGAAGTGCAGACCATCAGGCTGCAGCACGACAACTCTGGAGGTCATCCATCGTGGTAAGGACATGAGCAGCAAAAAGTAGATCGTTTGGCGTTACGTCAGATCAGGATGAAGTGCTTTTCATCAGAAATGAGAATGTTTTCTCTCATACGTGTTGAAAAGTTGGCAACTATTTAAAGACTACTATACTACACAGACAGCTGTGTGTTTTTTTTATACTTGGATTGATTTGGTATTATACAGGTAAGGGACTAGTCAAAAGGGACTAGTGCATTAAGGTGCTTAAAAATGCCTTTAAATACCTTCCTGATGGGTTTATTTATTCGTTTCAAGTCTCCTTTAATGCAATATAATGCTCATTTTGTTAACTGTGACTCTATTTAGAGTAAAATAGATGATAAAGCAAGGTATGATTTACAGTGTGGCTATGAATATATAGATTTGGGTTCTACTAATGACGTCTGGTGAGTGTTTCTTTCACATGGTATGGCGAGTTAAATAACTGAATTCTTTTTTTTCTGTTTTGGTGCTCCTAGTTTGCAATGTTGCTTTTTATTTCCATGATTTTAATTCCTTAGGTAAATGTTAAATGTGTCATCTTTCATTTCTGTATATTTTTTCTTTAAAGGTACATAAACAAAATGACTGTACAGGACCTCCAAACGCGACACATGTGGCACTTCTTTTGTGAATGCTGGCTGAGTTCTGAGCGCGGAGACGGCATGACCAAAAAAACCTTCAATGCTGCAAAAGTCAACGAGGTTGCCAGCTTCAGGTTAGAGTCCCTTTACACTGCTGAAAATAAATTGCTCATCACATCGCTTAAATTAAGTGATTATTTATTCTCCGTCCTCTCTCAGGAACATTTTCCAGACCAGGACATCGACTGGTTTTAGAGACGAACACATCTGGGTGTCCATCGTGGATCCTCCCTCACGCAGCCCGTTCACACGTGCCCAGAGGGTTTCTTGCTGCATGTGCCTTCTGCTCTGTACCATGGCCATCAACATCGCCTTCTGGAACATCCCTGTGGATCCAAACTCAACAGTACTCTTTTCAATTGGTGATTACAAAGTCTTAGATTATTGTTTGATTACTGATTACATCTGTTTCTTAGCATCAAACAACAAAGTTTAATTCAGGAGGGGAACCTGCTCTTTGTGCTAATATTAGCAGTGTTTGGATAAGGATTACTGCTCACAAGCGATTGTATCTAGGAGCAAGGCTGCATGCCGAAGGTGAACATGACTGGTTCTTAATAATTACCTACAACACATTTGCATCCAGATGTGCACCAAACTCAGAACCTTACTAACTCCACCTGGCCAAACACTGTTAAAACTGGTGCTTTCTTAGCAGATCTACGTGTTATTGAGTTTTTACATTCTGCACTTGGATCTTCTGTTGATGTGACCTTTAGTCACACCTTTCTATTGTATGGATAGATATTCAATATTCAAACTGAAATAATGTAAAGTTGATTCCACGAGGTCAGAGAGCAAACAGTCGCACACAGCTTTCTGTTAAAATCAACTGAGAAAGAACCCTGCAGTAAAACATTGCATTACTGTTTGCAGCTGTTTATTTGGGTGTTATTAGCTGGAGCTGTATTAGTTGCTTCACATCATCATCACCGTGTCCTTTGTTGTGTCTGTCCAGGTTCAATAAAGATGACCTGGCAGGACCTCATGGTGGGCGTGCAGTGCGGTCTCCTCATGTTCCCAATCAACATCCTCATCATCACAATCTTTCGAAGCATCAAACCTCGCATAGTTCCAAAATCTAAAAAAGCTGACCCTGAGGAGAACGTGAAACCCCCCATACTCAACATACCGACTGTGCTGAGGGTGCGTTACATGTTTATATTTGTCAGATGACCCGTACTCATCACAGAACCTGCAAGCCTGAGATGTTTTTTGAATATAGTCCATGTCATAGTCCGTGTAGCTCTGGTTTCTCCTTTACTATTACATACTTATCTATGCAGTGAAACAGTGCACCGCTCATGTATAATTTAGTACTTGTTGTTCTTCCCTGCAACAGGATGTAGAGCAGATCATTTCTTTGGCGAGCAAGAGCCCAAGAAACAAGATGTTAGAGATGCACAGACTGGAGTCCGTTGTTGATCTCTTCTCGGCCTTGGACAGGTTGAATGAATTAATTCAGCACATGCAAGGTAGTTTTATTTCATTCACTTTAATCTCAGCAAAAGAAAGAAAAAAGAGACAGATAAAATGTTTATAATATACTCAAATTAACATGAATACACATAAGCAACATACTATTAGTGATCTTAAACTAATAAAAGAGTACATAAGATGCATAAGCTTATGAATACAGCAGTTTGTTGCTACTCTGAGAAGAACCAATAAGACGGCTAGTGAACGCTTATTTCCTTGCTCTCACCCCATCAACAGTTATTTCAAACAATCTAAAAACTATCTCAAAGACCTATCTCAAAGAAACAACAGTGCTGAGAAACATGACGCTTGTATTTAAGGCTTATTTTCTTTTTTTTTTATGTTGTCAGGAAAAAAACATCAATACCATCAGACGTGTCTTTTAAAGATTTCCATGTAGCACACTGCTAGGACCTATTTCTTTCTATTCAAATTGAGTTTTAGGCAAATAACTTCTCCTCTGTCTGATCAGGCCAAGCAGCAGCACTTTTCTGCCTTGTGTAGTGTGACAGTAGTGTTACCTTTCTTCTCAGAAAGAGGTAACTTCAAGAGAAATGTAACTACCTTCTTATGTATATGTTTGAATATAAATCTTTCTCAGGAGAGAGTGAGAGCGACCATCACTTGGTGTACTGCAGCAAGTTTCTCCTAGCTAGTCTCTGTCATCTCCTGATGTGCCTGGAGAAACTGGATTTCAGATACTTTGCGACTCTAGACCAGTACCAGCAGGCCCTCAACTACACCAACGCACTGGTTCACAAGACTGAGATGGTCTTCAGCAGCCACTTGGCCTACTGGTCAGTACTCCAACTGCCAGTGAGACAAAATATTTGCAGAGCTATTTGTGCTATTATACTGAACTGGTACGTCATGCGTGTGTTTTTTCTGTCCATCTCGTCCCAACCCAGCCCACCTCCTGCGAAGAAGCCAAAGAAGAAGGCAACGACCATCCTGGGCTGTTGGCTGCCATGGTGGTTTGTGTTTGTAGGCTGGTTCCTGTTGCTGTCCATCAGCGGCATTTCAACTTTCTTCACCTTGTTGTATGGCTTTCAGTACGGCAAGGAGAAGTCCATCAAGTGGGTCATGTCTCTGGGCCTCTCCCTTTTCGAAAGCATCTTTATTCTGCAGCCTCTAAAGGTGGGTAAAATAAATCCTTTTTTTTTTAAAGTCAATTCGCTTGGCTGATAATCTGAAGTGTTTCCTGCATGTCACACTCTGAGATGATGTATGTATTTGAAGATACTTGGGTTTCTACAGAATGTTATAGTTTGTTTCTGTTTTTGAAATTTCTGCAAACGTGTATGCAACACTATTCGTTTCTTGTGCGGTCTGCTTTTTCTCACAGGTGATAGGCGTTGCTGTGATTTTCGCCCTGCTGCTCAAACCTGTAGCTGTAGACGAGAGTGAAGAAGTTGAGCAAGTCCTGTTAGGTAAGAAAACTTGTTCTGTAGTCTCTGTGCAGCCAGAACAGGTCAGTGCAAAGCTTTAAGTATATACTGTGATGTGATGTTTTTGTTGAATAATTTTTTTATATTTACAAAAAAGTACCCATTTTTTCTCTTTTATAAATATTTTTATAATATTTTATAGATATTTACTATAGATATTAAAATTAAATAAACATTTTTTTCTTTGATAATAATCATTAGTAGTATTAGTAATAACAAGTCACTTTTGTTACTCTCTTTAATGACCTCTTTGTGCTACTTGTGACGTTTTTTCTCAGCAGCGTATAATCAGTATCTTTTCTTTTTGGAGTACTTTTTTTAAAATAAAAAAATTAGAAAGCCTTATTGTCACCGTACTAAAATATAATGATGTTAGGAGAGCTGCTATTGTTTAGTGCATTAAAGTTCTTAACATATTGTCCACTATAACACTATGCATCTGTGTATGTATCAGTCTTATACAACTGAATGTAAACAATTAGATTCATGAATATATATAAAAATTAGTAGATGCAACAAGGATGCATTTGTTGCAAAAAGCAAAATTGTGGTGGACTGATTTCATTTTACATGTTTGCACTGACTTAGAGTCCAAATGGCCTTGGCATTATGATTCCTGTGGCCTGTAGCTCCTGTCAGAGGACAATGGGTCAGATAGGTGGTCACCAGGCTGTCCTAAAATCAAAAAATATGAAGTTTTCATTAATTCACAGAAAATGAAACAGGTTGGATGAACCTATTTTGCGTGTACATGTAAAAATAATCATTCATATTTCAAATTAGAAGAATTTATTTACCAACATGCAAAGATTATATGGATTCATATTAACCTGAGATAGTGTCTAAATATTATTATTCAACACACAGGAAAGATTTACTGCAACCGTCTCATTCATATTTCACGAAGCAGACCAAGGAAGCCTTTTCCCCTTTTTTCAGCTTGGCTGCCGAGAGCTCTGATGTAATCATGCAGATCACACACACCCAAAATTTTGTTGACTGCGATAAAGGACTGACCCTTTTCTTTTCCTGTTACCTTTCTCTCGTGCATCTGTGTATCCATGTACCCTTTGCGGAGCTTAAGATAAGTGCTTTGAGTCTTACAGTTGTGTCTTCTCCATTTAACAGAGCAACAGGAAAAGTGCAGACAGTACAGCGGCAGGGACACAATGTGAGGTTACTGCATTTGACGACATGAGCTGACTCCTCTGACATGCACAGCTGCGACACATGCCCCCCCGCTTCTTAGGAAATCTTTT